CTGAAAATGGGGTTTTTATATCACTGATTGAAGTAATTGCACAAGAAAGCGAGAATATACCAAGAGTTGTACGCTTATCAGTGACAGCTGGAAGTGCTGAAATTGGAGAGTCATTCTGCAGTTGAACAGTTGGACTTTGCCACCTCCCATCAGAAGATTTCGTGTCACGGAGGTGAGAAGAGGGAGTCAGAGACTGGTACCAAAGGCAAAGCAGAAAAACTAGAACAGGGAGAAGATCTGATTTAAATATTACAGTAGTAAGGTAGTCTTAAAATAGATTTTGGATAGAGAAGAGACGTGCAAGAGGAGTGGGTGTAGTAACACAGCATAGGAAAAAAGAGCTAATTACTAGATTTCTTCAAACATGCATCCATCATGCCAAATTCAGCCACTTTTCCCTGAATTTTCTGGCACCTGAAATAAATGTTGATATTCTGGCTTCCCCCATTTAATATTGCATCTCTCCTTAAATACCATCTAAACACATCTCCCTGCTTTTGTTCTTCATTTTTTCTCTTCTGTTAAGATATTTGTGACAAATTTCCACCTCTTCCAGGTGAAAAACATTCTGGTAGAACATAATACATACATATGGGTAAATACTGACTTTGGGGTTTTGTGGATATTAAGATTTACAGTTCCTTAATGTCAGCTTTGACTTGAGATTTGCTTAGGATCTCTGTGCTTCTCAGGACAGTTAATCTTCATTATTTACCATAGGGTTCAGTATTAAAGCACATACTATTTTATTCTACAATTATGTTGCTTTCATGCACATACGCTGATTTTGTGTGAAAATGATTCTTCTGAAATCAGGAAAATAAGTCGTAACTTCGACCTTTCTTTAAAAAAAAGAGATAGAAAGGGGTTACATGTATTTGCTGTGCCAAAGTGGGCTATCAATGCAGTACTGTACGCAGAAATTCGGATTAGCATCATTGCTGGGATATAGCTACATTATTTCTGGTGTGCTTTAAAGCTTTGCATTTCGTTGCATCATCTGATACTTCAGCAAATGCTCTGAACTCATCAAGTGGCTGATGGATGTGTTTGTAAAAGCCTGGATGGTCACTTTATACGCCACGATAAACCCGCTGTTCTGCTTAATGAGGTCAGTGAAGCAACCAGAAAAGAAAAATATAATTCTCTAGCATGGGCCTGTAAGCATGGTACTGCCTAGGCTTTTTAAGATTAATGAAGCAGCTACTCAGCTGCTGAATATTCTTGTTAAACAGTCTCAGCATGGATTTTAAAACTAAAATGTTGCTGATACTGTGGTCTCCTTGGAGAATCCGTGGCTCTTATTCTCTTAAAAAGCCTGCATCTTTTATGTGTTAATGGTTTTGAAATCATCCATTTGCTTCATTTTCATTGTAAATGAGGGCCAGAGTCTGATTTCCTTCCCCATTCTCTGGACACTGTATCTCCTGTAAGCTGTCTCATCAGCCTCCAGTTCACTCTCTGGGGTATGCATGGTCTGAAAATAGCTGAAATAATCCTCTAAAGCAAACACTTTGCCAAGCATTTTCCCGTTTTAGTTGCCTTTCTAAGAATATAAGTCCCTCTGTGAAAACCTGCCTGGTACTAGTGGTCCAGCACCCCCATCACATCCTCATACGGCAGAAAGTCTTACTGCTGGAGATGTCTGTTCAGGGGAGTTCAGAACGTTAGGACTGCCATTTCCTCAAATGCAATGAAATCAAGTTACAAGATCTCTTTTTAAACCCAGAGAAGTATCTCTGTTTAAAGGAGTGGATTAATGTTTTCTTTTTAAGGAGACTGGTTCCTGCTGCCATACTGGTACTATACAAGTAACAGCGGTGCCTGATGCAAAACACTTCTTTGAGGGTCTAATGCAGTGCAGACACACGTCCCTGATTTCAACATGTGAATATCGTAGCAGAACCTGTAGCATTTACCTGTGACTGTAGCCAAGTGTCTCAAGGCATGCTAGGAAGCCTTTCCCTCCTTTTGCAGAGGGATTAATCCACCCTGTACCTATGCTGTTGGTGACCGACCTGGGGAGCAAGGCTGCAGGCACGTAGCCTGGTGTTCTGCCGGTTGAACCACGCAGCCTCCTCTCGCCCACAGGCACACCCAGCAAGGAGCATGGTATGAACGGAGCAGGAATTCATGCTCCCAGGCTCTTTGTTGCCAGCATAACCCTTGCTTCACATTACCACGGTTGAAAGCATCATGCAAAATACAGTCTAAAAGGGTGGGAGAAAGAGCAAAGCAGGGAAGAAAGGCACAGGCAAGCTGTGATTTCTACCTCACCTTGTGGCATAAATTATTACTGCATGCAGGCTGTTATTAAGCAGGTCTGCATGACAAAAACCCTGTATAGGATTATTTGCCAGGTAAATGCTCTGCTATGGGTTGGTGATGGAAGGCCCTTAGTAACAGTGGAGTGCTTTCACAGGGGGTTTGGAGCTGATCAGCTGCTTTTCTCCTCCAATATGTAACTTTCTGCTTTGGTAGGCAGGGGCAGCCTTTAAGTTTAAAAGCACACAAGGTAAAGATTGTATATTTATATATTCCTTTGCAGCATTTGAGGGGCTGGGGAGACAAGAGAGTTCAGTCCTTCTGCTTATCACTTGTGACTTCAGGAGTCTGCAAAGAAAAAAAAAAAAAAGCAGCGCAGAGCCCTGGCTTGCTGTTTCTGAGACGCACAGACTTTTTCCACGACACACAGCGTTGTAAGCTTCCTCTCCCTGCTGAGTGGGTTTCGGAGGGCGCAGGCGAGGTGCGGGGGGATGCCTTCTCTCGCGCCTGGTATCGATCAGGGTGGTGGAGTTGCAGACGGGGAGGGACGTGCCCCTTTCCGCCCACCCCACTGCCCTGTCCTCCCTCCTTCCCTAGATGGGGACCTGCCACCCCACGCCACTAGGCCGT